AGGTGTTGAGCTCTGTTTGTGTAATGTGTTTAATACGCTCCTACCCAATGCACCATATGGAGGCACTGCACTGTATATTATGAGCATATTAATGCTAAAACTCAATTGAGTATCACTGGTGCATAGTAAACTAGTAAAACAAAATTATGCTAAGTACTTGCTGAACATCGTGGTCCCTGATATTTTTAATAAGCATCACAAACATTGTGCTGGCTTGGAGGTGCTTGCATGCCCTTCTCTGAACGAAAGAAGCCAAAGACCTAGGCACTATTCCAGACATAATGTAAATTTCACTTTACAAAATGATGGCATTTTTCAGGCACAGAAACTAAAGAGAATAAATTAATAGAGTGTCATTTAATCTATCAATAACTGTGTCTTTAAACCCTCTGCAGTTTCGAAGGCTTTTATGCCTGTTTTCTTTCCAAGGTGCTTGTAATGGCTGGGGAGAATTTTGATTAGTACAAGCCACCAACAGTATTTTTTTTTTCCCCTACCTGTTTCACGTCCATTCCACACATAACTTTTAGAACCCCTTCTCAGTTTACTGATATTTTCTTGGAAAGTTGCCAGACAATCTGTAGTAGAAATAAAATTGTGCTTTTTAATATAAAGCACTTTTTGATGAACACATCCTGGTAGAGCCAGATGAATCAGCAGCCTGCAAGGATGAGCGGTTTTGTCTCAGCAACATACCACTCGAAGGCTCGGCTAGAGGCATTGGTGCGTCGATGGGCACCACAAGGTGCAGGAACACAGAGCCGCACTCCGCAGCCCTGCCAGCTCGCCTTTCCCAGCACACAGTGGGCTTGACAAGAATGTAGTCAAATGAACAATTTACTATGATTACTTTAGTTTCGTTGGTAAATTACAGATTCAACAAGAACTGAATGCTGACGCTTTTCGAGTATCAGATACCCATTGATCCATAGCCCCCGACATGCTCAAGATATACTGGGAGTCTAATATAATTTATTGTTACTTAGAGCACTGATTGGCTGGAGGAATTATACTCCAATAAATGATGGCACTGTCGCTGAAGCCGCCTGTAATTGCTCCCATTCATCGTAATGTATGCTCTAACGCAAACTGGAAAGAAAGGAGATGATCAACTTCAAGCTTCAGCTGTTTCAAATTCCACAGGGTGTCCCTAAGTTAATGGATGTTGCATATTCTGCGGATGTATGTGCTGTGTTTCAGTAGATGGATCTTAAGAGAGTTAGATAGATGCACACTCATACAGTGCACGTATGTAGGCTCCACACAGATCTGTAACTGGGACCCGCCCAGTGGTCTCACAGATGGGATGACTCCCTGGTGCCGGGCCAGGACACAGACTCCTTTAGAACAGGAGTCCTCTACTGCTCTGTGCCCTACCCCTCCAAACAAGAAGAGTCCTCGAGCTATTCACTTTCTCTTCAGTGGCCCACCCCAGGGCACAGAGACAGAGAAAAATTGTGCCCAAGTTATACCCACAATACCCAAATATTTGTGACACATCTTCTTTGTTACCTCCTTGGCTGACCCCCTACCTTCCAGCCAAGCTGGGTTCGAAGCCCTCGTGCACACTCTAAAGTACCTGCTAGCCTTTTCTCAATAGGGTCTTCTTCTCCTCACCATCGCTCATCCCGCTGTAATGGAACTGTTTATTTGATAGACTGTGAGCTCCTTGAGACAAGTACTGTATTTGCTTCCTATCGCTGCTGTAACACATTACCACAAACTCTGTGTTTGGTTAAGCAGAGGATCAGTAAAACCCTCCATGAGAAGAACTGACAGGACAGCTGCAACCATGGACTCAAACATACCAACGATCATGAAGACAGTGCAAAAAAAAAAACCAAACTCACTGCTGTTGAGTCAACTTGATTCATAGTGACCCCTCGTCGGATTTCCAAGGTGGTATCTCTACGGAAGTAGACTGCCCAATCTTCCTTCTGAGGAGTGGCTGGTGGGTTTGAACCGCCAGCCTTCTGGTTAGCAGTCAAATGCCTTAGGCACTATGCCACCAGAGCTCCCGGAAGATGGTGCAGGACCTGGCAAAGTTTCATTCTGTTACACATAAAGTTGTCATAAGTCAGAGAGGACTCGACAGCAACTAACAACAACAAAACACAAACTTATCCTCTTACACGTCTGTTGTTGTTGTTAGGTGCCATTCAAGTTGGCTCTGACTCATAGCTACCCTGTGTACAACAGAATGAAATACTGCCCAGTCCCATGCCAACCTCCCAATTGTTGTCATGCTTGAGCCTATCATCACAGCGACTGTGTCAATTCATCTCGTCGAGGGTCTTCCCCTTTTTCACTCTCTACCAAACATGATATTCTTCTCCAAGAGCTGGTCCTTTCTGACAACACGACCAAAGAACTGAGATGAAGTCTGGCCATTCTCACTTACAGTTCTGGAGGTCGGAAATACGACATGGGTCTCACGGGGCTAAAATCAAGGTGTTGGCAGGACTCCATTCCTTCTGTAGGCTCTAGGGGAGAATCCATTCCCTTGCCTTTTCCAGCTTCTACAAGCTGCATGTATTCCTTGGCCCACCGCCTTTTTCTCCATCTTCAAGGCCAGCAGTGTAGCCTCTCCAAATCAATCTTTTTCTCCCTTTCCCTTTCCCTCTCTCTCTCCGCCTCTCTCTCTGGCCTCTGCTTCCTTGGTCCAACTCCTTCTGTGACTCTACCCCTCTTGTCTCCCTCTTTCACTTATAAGCACTTGTGTGGTGACATTTAACCCACTGGGTAATTCAGGATAATCCCCCATCTCAAGTTCCTGAACTGAATCACACCTGCAAAGCCCCTTCTGCCACGTAAGGTGACATATCACAGCTTTGGGGGATTAAACTGCGGCCATCTTTGGAGGGGCGCATTATTCTGCCTACCACCCGTACCACCTTTTATTTACCTTTGTCCTCCCAGTGCCTACAATTGTTACATGATGGCGATATGGCTTCACAGTTCTTAGCTAAGCTGAATGGATACATAGAATGGTTTATTAAAATTTGTAAATGCCTCTTCCAAGAAGCATCTCACACACTGGGCAAGAGCCGTGTGGATGAAGCCGGCAAAGTCTAAAGGCCTGTGTCATTCACACCTGCTCTGGCACTGGGTGCTGGTGAGAGCCACTTCAGCTCACTAAAGGCTCACCTTTTCCTGACAGCAAGTATCTCCGGGGATTGCTGTGGCCATCCCATCAGCTAATGTACGTGAGAACATTCCACCACAGGCAAATTGCTTTAGATGTGATATTTATCATTCTCCTTGTTATTCCTCAGAGAAAAGAAGAGACACTAGATCTTTAAGAGAGGGAAGTAGGAGGGACGAGGTCCCACTTACATAGAGATGGAAGGTATTATTACTCAGTAAAACTAAATAAAAATAACCATCCAAGAGTGACCCTGAAAATGTTTCCTATTCATATGCAAGTAGTCTAAGAGACTGACATAAGACATTTAAATTACTTTAAATAACTAGATGCTCAATTGCTCAAGATAAGTGGGGCCACACTTGCCCTCTTTCATTTTCATTGAGCTCAACAATCAAAGATGGACTCGTGTTTACATATTACAGTAGTGTGAAATGTGTGGTTACTCATTTATAACACCCTACACATTAACCCATCAATTTTATTGATTAATAAGATAGCTTCATGACATTACAACAATAGAGATGACAATGCATCATCCCACAGGAACAAAATTATCCTGGAAGGCAGTGCACACCTGCAAAACACTTGATTGTAGTTCAAGCCAGGCACGTGACAACTGGAGAAAATCAAGCATGCAAGAACCCTTCAATCAAAGGGTCTTTAGAGGGCATCCGGATCAAAGCTCTCATTTTTACATTATGGGGAAGATCAAGTACTAAGAGAGGAAGTGGGTGGCCCAATGTCATACACCTGCTCAGTGGCACGACTTGGACTAGTGCCCAAGTCTCCTGACTCTTAATTTAGTGCTCTTTCACTGTGCCCCCCCCCATTCAGGTTTCCTGACCCCTATTCAAGTGCTCACTTTTTTGTGAGGCAAGAGAAAGGCGAAAGAGGAAGTGAAAAGCACATTCCTCTACTCCTGTGGTTTCGAAATAGGAGGTTGCACAGATAAAATAAGCTGGGGAAGTTTCCTTTAAAATGCTCATGAATCACTAAACACCAAGCAGTACTTGGGAGTCTGCAAGCACCCCACTCGATGTGAAAGGCTGTCATAGTCCAGACTGTGTGGGATTAGTTTAGGAGAGAAGGAACCTGGAAGGCCTCCAAGGAAAACCCATGGTTTGGCACAAGGCAGAGCGAGTTATTAAATAAAGAAGGATGTGGAGACTAAATGGCCAATTGATTGACAGAATACTCTACTTGTCTCAATGTTGTCTTGTAGGCACAATTTGAGGCTATTAAACTGATGATCTGGCTGAATGTTAGGGTGCTGTGGATGCTAATGGGGCTTGTGTGTACGTGGGTGTGCATGTACATACAACTACAACATAAGGATGGGCCGAATTTCTATTAGAGTATCTCAGAGTTGAAGAGAGCACAGAAGTGAGCATCTAGTGAAACTTCCCAGCCCTCTCTCCACTCAATAGGTACAAATTTGTTTCAGACAAATGGCAACTTCAGCCACAAGGGCATTCATTACTTCATAGGTTGGCCCGATTCATTTGTACTTGGCTGTGACTGTGTGAGAGGGGGTGTTGCATTGACACCCTCCCTGTCTAGGTCCCAGATCTGAATGCTAGATACTACACTGAACTACCATCTAATTGTCTCTTGAATGCCCTTCATAGCATTGTGTCCAAGGAATCGAGAGACATTAGACCCAGGAGTCTAACATACAACAATTATTTACATACCTCTAAATTGCTAAACTTCAGGTAAGCACATGTGGGTGTCTATCTTAGAGTGGTAGAAAGCCCACTTAGGACCTGTGTTTCCATCTTAGCCCTATCACTAACTAGTGATAGTGACCTTGAGCAAATCATTGAACCCAATTGGGGCTCAGTTTCCTCACCTGGAAAGAACTTTGTACTGAATAGTGTCCGGGGTCCTTTCCAGTTTTGCCATGCTGGGAGTCTATGATGGCCTTCACCCTTTGGTCACTTTCTCTTTCTCCCTCAATTGTAAGGTCATCCCTATCACACCACCCTATGCCAGCCCAGCTCTGGGCATGCTCAAGCCAGGTTGCTGACAAACTCACTGACTTCATTATCATCCTCATTAATAGATGACCCGATGTATACGCCAGCGTTCCCCTAAGTATCTCAATAAAGCACACTGCCATAGAACCCAACAGGCACGTACAAGCTAGATCTGCATGCTTAGCGGTGTTTATATTTAAAAATCTTTTGCTCAGGCAGCCTCAACCTCAGTATTAGATAACCCCCAATTCTCCAGGTTTAATGACTACCATACTGTAGTTAGTTCCAAGTCAAAGTGTATCCTATTTTAAATGCTACATGCTCAATCTGTTGCCTAGCATAAATATTATACTATGTAATGTGTAAATATTAAAATTTAACTTTAACAAGTTGAGTCACATTCATTGGAATTCGGCCAAGACTCTAACACTTTTTCATTATTTTCAAAGAAAGACCAATTTAAGAAATGGAAGCCAGTTCCAATTCACTTCAAAATTTGGCTTAACGTCAAAGAAATTTTTAATGAAAGTCTGCTTAAGTATTAAACATGAAAGTATTTATTTGATCATTAAGTTAGCATTTAAGTTAAATAGAAATTTGGGTTTGGCCTCTAAATCCTGGGTTCATAGGCCAGAGAAATCCCAAATGATGGCTGCATTTCAGTGGAATCCTTCATCTCATGGATGGAGGCCTTTAAACAACCACTAAGGGACAACATAATCAGTGACGTATCTAGTCTCTAGGGAACTCTGGTGGTGCTATGGTTAAAACGTTAGGCTGCTAACCAAAAAGTAAGGGGTTTGAACCCACCAGTCGCTCCATGGGAGAAAGATGAAGCAGCCTGCTTCTATCAAGATCTAGAGCCTTGGAAATCCTGTGGGGTAGTACTACTCTGTCCTACAGGGTCATTACAAGTTGGAAGTGACTTGATAGCAGTGGAGGTTTTTGGGGGTGGTGTGTATCTGGTCCCTGACTGCTATAGGGCACAGGTCTGCCATGGCACCTGGTGAACTTGCCTGTATCCCTGTAGGCAAAGCTTTGACCTGCAGCTTTTCCACTAAATGAAAGTCCTTGTCATCCTCCAGAACACCAGAGGCCGGGAGGCCTGTGAGGAGCTGGAAGGCTGTCATGAGACAGTTTCCCACTGCTTCACAGGTTCTGATGAAATATGGGGCTGTCTGTCCCATGCCTCAGAACAGCGCCGCAGACTATCAAACTGCTTAACTGAAGTCTAGAACAAGGTCCTCGGCAACAAGTGTCCCATGACTTGCTCTTTTATTTCAGTGCCATACTAATTTGGGGTGGAAGACAAGGATTGTGGAGAGTTGGCATCTCTGGCTTATTCATTTCAAATATATATGTAAGGAAGGAGCTCTGGTTGTGTAGTGGTTAAAGTATTTGGCTGATAACCAAAAGGTCGGTGGTTCAAATCCACTAGCCACTGCATGGAAGAACAATGAGGCAGTCTATTTCCGTAAAGACTGACAGCTTTTGGAAATCGAGTGGGGGTCGCTATGAGTTGGAACTGACCTGATGGCAGTGAGTTCGGTTCTGGTTTGGAACAATGTAAGGAATAAAATGTTATGCATTGAATTGTGTTCCCCAAAAAGACATGTTGAAGTCCTCACATCAGGTACCTATGAACATGACCTTGTTTGGAAATAGGGTCTTTGAGGATGTTGTCAATTAAGATGAGGTTATGCCAGAGGATGGTAGGTCCTAATCCCTTGTGAGTGGTGTCCTTAGTAAAAGGGAGAAGAGACACAGAGCCAGAGAGGGATGATGGTCATGTGAAGATGTGTCTACAAGCCAAGGGACACCTGGGGCTAGCAGAGGTTGGAAGAGACAAAGAAAGATATTCCTCTAGAGCCTTCAGAGGGAGCATGTCATTGAGTCTATTCCAACTCACAGTGACCACAGAACATAGATCTGTCCAATAAGGTTTCCAAGGCTGTAAATTTTTAAGGAAGCGGACAGACTCATCTGTCTCCAACAGAGCAGCTAACCTTTCCGTTAGCACCAAGTGCTTTAACCACTGCACCACCAGGGATCCTCATGGCCCTGAAGACATCTTGAGTTTGGACATGTAGCCTACAGAACTGTGAGCCAATAAACTCCTGTTGTTTTAAGCACCCAATTTGTGGTATTTTGTTACAGCAGCCCAAGGAAAATAAACCAAAAAAGGAAAAAGAAAAAACCCTCACTGCCATTGAGTCGGTTCTGACTCACAGTCACCCCTCCTTGGGTTTCCGAGACAGTAAATCTTTGAGGAAGTAGATTGTCCGGTCTTCCTTCCGAGGAGTGGCTGGTAGTTTTGAACCACCAGCCTTCTAGTTAGCAGTCAAATGCCTTAGGCACTGTACCACCAGAGTTCCTAAGGAATAGAAGACACCGTCTAAATCGAAAAGTACCTCCCGTATCTTTACCGGTGGAATCAGTAAGGCTTTGGCCTTGCCCTGTCATACATGTGTGAGCTTGACAGCCATCTATATGTTTTCCTCTGTCTGCAAACTTTCTTAAAGCAATCCCAAGCAAAATCAGGAAATGTTTTCTCTTTCTTTCATGGGTTTATTCAGAAGCAGTTTATCAATAAAACTCTGTGGTATGCTTAGACTGAGCAGGGCCCTATTTCCTTCAGGGCAGTATAGTTGTTAGGGTGTAGTTCTGGTGGTCAGCCTTCAGGCAAACATAGGTCTCTGGAACCTGAACCCCAAGGAAAGAGGAGACAAGCGACCTCTGGGGTGCCACGGATATTTGCTGAGTACACACTGCGGGGTCAGTTTGGGAAGGTGCCAGGGTAATTCTTCCTGAAGGTGGAAAGCGAGCAGTTGGAAGCTGGAAGCCAGAGAGATCTGGAGCAGAGAAGGGAAGTTCACGCCAACTGGCCAAATGGCCTTCACCTCCTTAGTGAACTAGAAGATGCGCTCATCTGCTCAGGGCCGGGTGAGAGAGGGGGAGCTGGGCACACGGACAGAGGAGAGGGTGGAATGGCAGCCGTGAGGACTGGAGGCAGGACCAGAGAGGGAAGCCGCGGAAGGCGAGCAAGGACCAGTCCCTCGTGTACCCCACTAGCAGCTTTTCTTGTTCTGGTCCAGCAACAATGGGAATATCCGAGGTGGAGGGAAGTGCCCAAGAGTCTCATCTGCCTTTACACTTTGGCCCGTGTTGACTTTGGTTGTTCAATGGCAGAATTCTCCCCTGCCATGCAGCAGATCCAACGCATCCCAAGGGCAGCTGCCATTCGTCAGTGGAGGCTTTTGTGTTGCTATGATAGTGACTGGGAGCTCTGGTAGCGTAGTGCCTAAGGCACTTGACTGCTAACCAGAAGGCTGGCGGTTGAAACCCACCAGCCACTCCTCGGAAGGAAGATGGAGCAATCTACTTCCGTAGTGATACTGCCTCGGAAACCCAAGGAGGGGTCGCTAGGAGTCGGGTTCGACTCGATGGCACATAACAACAACCACAACAACGTGATAGTGACTACGTTTCAGGGGCACTTCCAGACTAAAACAGACTAGGAAGAAAGGCCTAGTGGTCTACTTGGGAAAATCAGCCAATGAGAATACTATGGAGCGAGCACAACAGAACATTGCTAGAAGGTGAGCCCCCTAAGTTGAAAGGCAATCAAAACACTGTGGCTACAATGGCCTCAAGTACAGCAACGATTATGAGGATGGCACAGGACCAGGCCGCATTTTGTCCTGTTGCTCGTGGAGTCATCGTGAGTCAGGGCTGGTGACGGCCCGTTGACAGCACCACCTTGGGCTACACTTGGTGAGGGTGGAGGAGACAAGCTGTCCCCCACTAGGGAGAAACAATGTTGGAGCCCTGCAGCTACTGAACTCTCAAAGAGGAGGGAGGCTTTGAGGAAAACACAAAAGACAACTCTTTCCCCAAAGGCCCTATAAGTACATTACAAAGGCAAATGCAAATGTATTTGTTGGATCTGCCCAATTACTGCTATCCTCATTTACCCAGAAAATCAAAACCAAATCACCCTGGTGTGGTCTCCTGTGCATTTGTAAGCCCAGTGAGGGACTTAATATGTGCTAGAAATGGCTACCTAGTGGGTCTTCTAGTCTAAAACCTGCTCTCTCCTCAGGGAGCCTCACAGGCCTGCAGAAGGGCCCTTAACGAAAGTAAGTCTAATTGTAAGCTTGACCTGGGAGGCCCTGGTAGGAATGCCCACAGAGCGCTTCTCTGCGGGAGCCTATGCTCTCTGAAGAACTAGGCAAAATCCAATATTGAATGTGCTCAGCTTCAAGGAAGGCATACTGCATTCAAAACTCTGGCCTGTGCACATTGGTTGAAAGAACTGGGCACATTTATTCTTAAAAAATGAAAAGTCTTGGGCACATATGCACATACAGGCTGCGTTTCCATCTGGGAAGGAAAGATGGCTCAGCCTACTGCAGGGGCCCACAAGTGGAAGCCACAGAGAGGGAGAGCTTGGTCACTTAAAGGAAAACAAACGTAGGCCAGGGTTCCCTGTCACCAGAAGGGCTCAAGCAGAGTTCAGGAGTTCCAGGCTAGGAGCTGTTGATTCAAACACCTGGTGGCAAGTGTGACCACAGCCTGATGATCTTGGGATGGCTTCTCAATTCCGATATTATACATAATATGGGCCTTTCTAGGCTGGTGTGAATGGTTTGTGCTCGGCTACTAACAAGAAGGTTGATGGCTTGAGTCCAACCAAAGGTGCCTTGAGAAAAAGACCTGGTGGTCTACTTCCATAAGATTGTTGTTGTTGTTGTCATGTGCCGTCGAGTCATCCCTGACTCATAGGGACCCCTCCTTGGGTTGCTGAGGCAGTATCACTACGGAAGTAGATTGCCCAACCTTCCTTCTGAGGAGTTGAAAACCCCACGGAGCATATTCTACTCTGAAAGACATGGGGTTGCCAAGGGTCAGAATCCACTCACCAGC